AGATAAGAAAAGAATTGAGTGCAGTAAGGTAGGAAAAGAGCCTGTCTCACCACAACCTGCTTTCAGAGACGATGAGATTGACAGAAGAATCAAAGACAAAATGAATGCTACAGTGAAGAGTGCATGCTATTGTAGTAAAAGCTACTTAGAAGAGTGCGTTTAAGTAGTACAAGTACAGTCGGTGATAACAATCGATTGGTGAGAAATTAGACAAAAATGAAATGCAATGTTGGATAGGAAAGTAGAACGCCAGAACTCAATGGAATGACATACGGAACAAGAGATAATTTGCGAATGGATAAATTATCGCTAATCAGCTATATTTCCTCAATAAGCGATTTCAGCTGTCTTTGGATTTCTCTTCATTGGTGCCCCCCTCCCCCAACTGGAGAGACCCATCTAGGAGGCTGGACAAAGGCGGCCTGCGAGGCAGCGTGCGGTGGGGTGAAGTGTCTAGGTGAGTAATTTGTGAGAGGTCATGTGTGTTCGGCTGGTGGTGGAGTTTGACAGCTCGGCAGATAGGATGCACCCTATGAAGGATTTCAAAAGTGCGAGGATGAACGTAGATGGAGACCTACTGGTACTAATGATGAAATTCATCAACCTTTCCCACAGAGCACACTCCAACATCGATGAGAAGTCAGGAGCACAATTGTTGGCAACACAGTTCGTGGAGAGCATGCCACTTCTCAACAGCTGACACTAGTAAACACACTGCAGCCTAGTTCTTGAGCTTTATATTCTCATTCAACATTATATGTTCTTCCTGTCTGATTTCTCACTAATCGATCCTTATCATTTTCGATTCTACTACACATGCTACTGATATGTATTCTTATACGCAGCTCTCATTACACTACTACTAGGCTGGTCCGTCGGTGCCATGAAAACTGCTTGTTGTGATAATCAAAAGTAGGGGAGTTCCTATCTCATATTATCTGCTTCTAGAAATTTACATGTACGTATTACAGAATATACAATGAAAGAATAGAGAAAACAGTTAATGCTCGGATTTATGTATATACTCCTACAAACTACAAATTAAAGAGTAAATACACACTCAACAGGATTTACCTTCACCTGTTAGATACTAGATATGCAATAGATAACATCAACCCTCGATAGTGCTCGACAACATTTTCGACCTGTTAAAGAGATTGACACGAAAAATAATGATAGTCAGTGCAACTATCACTGAAAAAGACAGTCATGTAATAACCTTTCAGGATAGGCTACTCAGTCGATGAGGTTGTAAACCGTTACCGACTGACTTAAACATACGTGATGAATACCGAGCCACTAACTATCTCAACGTACGAAGTTGGACTGGGGTGACCGGACGAAAGCACAATATTAGTCCGTAAAGGTTCTGACTGCTAGTCTGAGTAATGTAGGAAAATGTATTCTGTCTGGCTGAAGTACTAAAGAAGATAAGAATCAATTTCTCGGGTCTCTTGGTGATATGGCTCAAAATTGACCATAAAGGTGCCGTTGTATACACTATTTATCACCAGAATTCCGCATATTTATTCCTCTCTCCTTTCTCTACTCTGATTTCATACCTTCTCTGCCCATGTTCTCTTTTTTTCCTTATTTCAAAGTAAGCGACAGGTGGAAAAGCTCTAAATTATAGCGTTCTACCAAAGTTATTATCTAGCCTATTTTACGTATTCAAAAGGAAATAATTACCAATCTTGTATTGCTAAAATCTACTATAAATATGTCCAGATTGTGTTATGTAATTTCCACCTCTCTCTTGTGCCGTTATACTACAAAACCCCTACTTTCGTTGCTTGGACATCGCTTATTTTGCTCGTCAAGATGGTATATATTTTTTGACCTTTACAGGTAATTAATCCATGGTGTTAACTTTCAGTTTACAAGACATTTTTTTTACCACCACTCACCTTTTAATCTTTCCCAAGAATATTCATCTCATTACTCTATAAACAATGAGATCTCCAAACTTTGGGACGATTATTTCCCACTGAAGCTTTTTTACAACTTGAGGAAAGCACATGGATGTTTTGTAATTGTGAATACATTTCAACCTGAACAATTCGGCTCTATGAGATGGATCTGTTTGGATACACCGCTCATGACCTTGGTCCTAAACAAGTGGAAAAGGTGTCCGGTGTTTAGATCAGTCTGTGTGAATAATTTCTAACTACTCCAGTTGTTCAGTAACGTATTCCTTAGATTTCGATACCAGAAGACAGTAGAGGAAGATAGACCAAACAAAGATGAGAATAGATTATTCTGCTTCAAGCGTTGTTCTTGCCTTATTCAAGTTTTCAAATGGGAAGAACTATAACACTTTCTCTGGATGGTTATGATGAATAGTGGCTGTTAGTGCAATCTACGGAGCCAAAATCACTTTATTTGTGAATGAATTTGACTGTATTTGTGCTGTTGTTCCCAACGATACTTGAACCCAGAAGTCATCGTTTATGAACACCACAGTGTTATCTAGTATCGAAGCATACTCTCACAAGTAATTCACATATGCCAACCCTAAACCAACCAATTTATTCTCAAGAAATCAGTAATCGGAAATCGTAAGCTATAGTATCAAAATAAATCCGTTGTACAGAAAGCAGATATCATAATTCAGTATCCTAGTGAAAGAATTTTTAGCGTTTGGAGTGATAGATGCTGTGTGCAAATCTCAGCGAATTTGACACTTGTAAGTAGGTGTGTATGCAGCTTACACGTCCCAAACACGAGAGAATACATATCATAGATCCCATTACTAAAAACTCTATTTACCATTATCATTATGATGAAAACAATAGGAAATACTGAGGTATCCACGCAAAGAATTCGAATAACGGAAAATTACGAGTTGTCCTATGATAAAATGAATATTGCATAGAGAAACTTTTTCGCTAATAAGAACAGAATATCTTAGAATAACGCTTAAATAATATAATATAGGCTTATTCTGATTAAAAAGACGGTAATATTTGGCAAAAATCATTAGATTTATGTCATATACATATATATGCTATCTATGAAAGCATATAAAAAAGTAGTATACGGTGCAATGTCTCCAGCAAAAATAATATGAGTTAAAATTCAGATGATAGATGTTCTGCAGAAAGGACGAAGAAATACTATCAGGAAGCATAGAAGACAATCAAGGAAGCAACAGACACCAAACGGAATGAAAATAATGACAATAAAATTGCGTTGAATCCAAGATATGTTATCGGTACTCATTGTGTAGAGCTGTGGCTCATTGGTTTACGGGGATGACTTTTAACTAATGGGCCACAGGCTCGAGCCCCGATTCACCTACCGAGGTTTGCTCAATCAGGTAGTATCATTAGCCCTCACACAATAAGTGTGGTTCATTGCCTACCGCACTGTGTGCACAAGGTTGCTGAGTGCAATTTAACTCACTTCAATCGGTACTTATTGAAATTTGCTGGCAATCAATTCGATCATTCCTCTCCTATCTTGTTGACGATTGAGTCAATAGACTAAAGGAAATGTGGGGAAATAGATTGGCATATCTACCATACAGTTGAGCTATTTATAGGGATATCATGTGTTAAGTCGATTACTAGTACTCACCCAATGTCATTTACTGCGTGACAATTTATAGTTCTGAACGAACCATTTGCATAAAGCAGTAATAACTAGGTAAAACTGAGCAAGATACATTAAGAGTAGTACTATTTTCAAAATATGTTATGAATTATTTTAACTACAGACAAGTGTTCGAAAGTAAGCTTCATCAACCGACTATAATAAATGGCATCAAAAATTGTCAGAAATCTTAATCATTCTGTCTCCCTGGAAATATCGGGAACAGTTTCTTGCGTAAAAACGAAAAGAGTGGACAGAAAACAATCTAAAAGACATAGTTGTTTTATTGCTTAAACTCTCTCTTCTTCACAAAGTATTTTTCTTTTAACCTGGAAAGTAATTATTGTTTTCAGATTGGGATTCATCATAGACTGGCATCAGCGGCAGAAACACTAGAATTCCAACTTGAAATCAATCAATAAATCCCCACAAACCTCCAAATTGAATTATTCTGGCGCTCATTGGTGACTCGCTTCAACAGGGGATTCCCGAGGTTCCAATGAGAAGTAGTGACCAGTAGAGCCAACCAAGTCCAACATGAGGACACTTACTCAACGACATTGGATGAAGGTTGCACGGTATCGTGAACTGACATAAGTAGGAAATATGGACGACTGGATTCCAACCGAGTGGCTCAATGGTAACGTGCTGGCCACGGGACCCAAAGGCCCCGGGGTCGATTCCCGGTGGGGTCGTGGGTGTGCACTGCTGGGGAGCCCCATACTAGGACGAAACAGCTATTCATTGCTCCTAGGTTTCCAGTGTTCCTGATGTCAGTCTTCGACGGATTCCAACCTGAAATTAATTGCTAATTTTCTTCACAAACCTCCAGAGTGAATTACTTTGTTTGTTTTTTAAAGACAATTTATACAGAAGTTACTTAACAGCAAAGTTTGATAACCATTTTTCTTTCGAGCTTTTTCTCAACGTGTCGGTTGTTGTTTTCTGCTGTTTTGTCAGGAAGTAACAGTCACTTTGTAGTCTAAATGGTGGTCTTGTATATTTTCAATTTATTCCACCCTGTCAACATGCGATTCAATTTTATAAACGTATGAGCTAAAAAAAACACCAGTTAAAAGGTTCAGAATTCCTTGTCTTGTGTTTAATTCAGCTTGCAACTCATAAGCGTTGGAAAAGAACAGAGATTTCTGGTTACATCCACACAAGCATAATCGCGTAACAGTGTTAAAGTTATATATGGAGTGATGAATATCAACTATACGAAGCGAGTCTAACAGCGTCGTTTGCTGTGGTAACACTAAACAACAAGCCTTCTTATTTGACTTACATCTTTAATACCACTACTATAAAACCGTGATCAGTCACAAGTTTAATAAACCGAAGGGCAAAAGCCCGAAATAAAAATACGTCAAATAGAGACTTTCATATGACGTCGTTCGACTTACCGGTTTTCTGAACTGTTTCAAAAGAACACCATCCCGACCATACAGTTCCAAGGTTATAATACTCATGCCTAGTAAATGAAAATATTTAGCGTTGGAGTTAGGAAATTAATATATAAACAAAGGACCAGGTACAACTGCACAACCATCCAAGTTGCCACACATTATATCAGCACAACAAGAAACAAAATAGTCAGCTGAGAGATGGAAAAAGTTAGAAAAACTCATCAAAAGCAGCAAGTAGTAATAAAAGAATGGAAGGGAGAATGAAAAAATGCTGAATTCAAAATAACAGTTAAGATGAAGATAATGTGTACACATCTGCGCCACTGACGCTGATTCTGAGCCGTACCACCTAGAACCTACAGTCGCTGGTCTCTGTCGTCACGCGGACCCCAACTGGGAAGTCTACGTTCCCCTACATAGCCCGGATCAATAGTCAAAGACATCAAGCACTGATGGCATTTTTCAGTCTGGTCACCCCTAACCCTTTGCCAACCTAGATATACTTCATCTAACATTGTGAGAAGAGGTAGACTGTGACTATTCACACGTGACACACGTCCCGACCATCTCAGTCGATGAAGGTTCACAACCTCATTGACTGACATTCTTCTCCTCCACGCCCGACTTCTGCTTTACTCACATGGTGACACAACGAAACACGGCCGATGCAACGAAGCCAACAGTGGGCAAACAATTGAAGCCTCCCCATGTTCTTTACCTTTAGTGTCCATGTTTTACAGTCACACAGTAGAACAGAGCGAACTGCAGCACAGTACACTTAGTTCACAATGGGCAATCGGATATCACGGCGGTGCCGCAGATGGCATTTATTAGCAAAAGCCAACTGGACCTTCTGTTTCTGCACAGAGATTTCGTCGGTCACCGAGCCACCAGGGCTGATAGGACTTCCCAGGTAAGCGAAGTGGTCAACGCACTCAACCACTTCACTCTCAATTGTTAGGCAGAGCACAATTGAAAACCGGTCGTGGAGCAACAATTTACATTTGAGTGGCGAGAAATGCACCTTAAACATTCTCCAGCTGCCACTCAAGGTGTCCAAAAGACCCTGGATCTTGTCAGCGTCTTCACCAAACAGAACTATGCCATCTGTGTATTCTAGGCTTACCAATGATCCTCCAGTGATTATATCAATCCCTATGAAGTCAGAAGAGGAGATGGAGACCTACATAAGACAAAGAGATAGACAGACAAAATCAAAGTAGAACCTCTCATACAAGTGAATCAGCTCAAATTGCCATAATTCACAACAATATGCAAAGAACATGTGGATAGAAGAGTGATATAAAAGTAGAAAAGGCTGTATGAGAGAGTAAAAATATCTGAAAATAACGGTTAAGGCAAATATTCTAGCTTTAGAAGACGTCAAGGAGTGAATATATCTGAGCCACTCTGGCTAGTCTTCAGCCATGTCACCAAAAGTCCTGCACCACTGGTTCCTTTCCTCTCAGGGACCCAAATCAGACAGTCTACATCTCTCAACATATCTCAGACCGACAGTCAAAGACTTCATCAACTGGTGCCACACCTTGGTCTCACTACCCTGAACCACCTTACAATCTAACCCAACTTCACCTAGCATCGCACATCCAGGTAGTCAGTTGTTCGAAATGCGTAGCACATGTTCAAGCCATCTCAGTTGACTAAGCTTCGAAACCTCAACAATCGACTACCCTGTCTTGCCTAGTACCCTTCGCATGACCCTGACCCCAACATTTCTCACACACTGATTTCACCTTGCACAAACAATACTGCGAAGACATCTGTGAGCGAAATCCTGTAACCGCTTCAAGTCTTGCACATTCAACGACCATATCTGACAGCTGTAAAATGAGATAGAAGTAAATGCAGCGTAGTAAGCTCACCCTTTAATAGATAGTTAGATATCTCAGTAGTCGGCGTTACACACGATGTCAATTGGCAAATGACAAACGGGTGTTCTGTATCCAAGCAGAGATTTCGTCAGCGACCGGCCCGTTAGAGCTGATGCAACTTCCCAAGTAAGTGATATCGTCAACGTATTCCACCCCTTAACTCTCTATCATTAAACTGACAGCAGTTGCAGGCCAGTCCTTAAACATCATTTTACATGTGACAGATGCAAAATGCACACCAAACATAGATAGATGCTTGTTCAAGACGTTCAAAAGACCATACAGTTTGTCACCGTCTTCGTTTGAAAGGACACTATTGCCTGCGTACTCCATGTCAACCAGATGCCATTCAGGGAGTGGGACAATCTCTGTGAAGTCAGAGGTACTTCAGTTTGTGTCTATTAGTGCATCTGTGACGAAATGGGACGGTAACGGCGACAGTCGGCATCTCTGTCGTCAGTTATGACGACAACTCAATATAAGTCCTTACATGGCTGTGTGAATCCTAGCAGAGAGCTTCGATAAGCATTATACACTTGCTTGGTACTCCTCTTTACAGTCAGACACTTCCACAACAGACGTTTACCACTGTCACTTCGTTGGCATGAGATTCCGTAAATATCCCCCAGATGCCTTTCCGATTAGCTCAGCTCAGCCTCCTCACTTGAACGTTAAAGTCACCTGTCATTATGACTTAATCTGAACACTGCTTCCTGTAGCAAAGTTGACAACTTCTCATAGAATTCATCCTCTGCATAATCCTAACTGTAGTTAGTGGGTGAGTAGACAGAGATTACGAATAGTCATCGTCTAGTCTCATGATTATTCCTAGTTCTTTTAGATCCATCTAGTTGAACAGCACATCAATGGTCGTTAGCTGGTATCTAGTCAAGGAGTGCATTTTCTGCCATACAGCTCAATGCTATTCCTACACCAGTGAGTCCACCATAGCTAGCCACTGGGTCTCCGGATATTCGTAAGGTGAATTCTGAAGACTCACTACTCTGAGTAGGTGAGGTCAGTTTAATAATCACACTCGGATCGTGTAAACGTGTCTCCGAGATGCAGCATACATCCATGGCTCCAGATTCCAGAGTTCAGGCGGGCGATGGTTGCTGTTGAATTTGGCATGGATTTCGGACGTTGGAAGCTCCTACATGAGATTGATGACGAGATGTTAGGAGACTGAGAGTGAGGTTGTGATGGCTTTGATCGTTGACAATGGTCGCAGAATGAGAGGTTGGGTGAGGTGTTAGAGGCCTGATATTAGTATCGGGAGACGAAGGCAAAGAGACATGGTTGAGGAGAATAGGTTATGTTTGATTGGATCTTGTGTACTATGGGCAGGCGGTTGACATTTCCCGGCTGCCTACAACGTCGAACTCTATTTCTTCTTAAGATACCTGGAAGGAAAGATTTATATGATCGTAGGGTCCAAGGAAGATCTGCTTGATGCCTGTCACACACGGCCTTTTGTGGGATGTTTTGAGGTTCAGTTGTTCCAAACCCGAACAAACAAAAACACACACCGAAAGACCGTGGGGCAAGTGGAGTACGTTGTTTGGGGGGGGGGACCGACCTTCCCTAACCCACCTTCCCGTTGGGAAGGCTGTATGAGCGTGGCGCTGCTATTCATTCAAGGGAAACACCTTTCTGCTGTCACACCCCATCCAGTTAATAGCAGAACGACTTCATCCTCAGACCACTATTATAGTGTAGTAATTTACACTACGAAGGTAACAGCTTTTCATCTTACCACTATCCAACAGACCTTTCTGTTATGGTAGGACCTCGAGGGAACAAGCATTCCACCTGCATAGCTCGTTAGGTCATTGTGATACACAAGCTCGATCACCACGTCAAGGTAGCAGCTATCGGTCCGGAACAAATCACTGCATGTACTTAATACTGTCATACGATGTAACTTTTTTTATGATCTGTAGTATGATACGTTGATATATATATATATATATATATATATATATATATATATATATATATATATATATATATAAAACTTTGGAGGATATACCAAACAAACCGATATTATTCGCACAGTTAACCTCTCATCTTCTATTAATATGTCTAACCAGTGTAGAAAAAAAATCACTTAAAGGATAACTACATGTTGCAAGATAAGTGGAATAGATGTTTGCTCTATGACAATGCAATGCAATGTGGCAGTTACGCAGAACTGGACGTGTGTTGGATGAAACAATTCTCTAAAAAGACTTTGTCTCTAACCTAGATGGCAGTGGTTGGCACAGAGAGGCCATAATGAAATTAGTTACGGTTATAGGGAATCACTGCCCCTTCTAAGGCATGTTTTCGAACTCAGATAATACGCTAGCTTCAGTACTACGTGGTCCGTAGTATGGTTTCAAGGGACCATGAATGTTATTTGATGAGCCTAAATAATGAGTGACGTTAGGAGAGGTTGGTGTGGTCGAAGATGGTATGAAGTTGGTAGCAAGGAGAGACGAAGAAAATTTAGGACGGAATAAGCAAAACAGTATATGATGTACAGCAGCGAACCCAATGAAATTGGAAGCGAGAAGAAAATTGACACTGCAGCTGTCCATATAGTGAATGATTGGTTCTCAGGGCAACAGAAATAAAAATGCTATTGTTGATGCTCAAATAGACTTTAGGGAACAAGCAGAGAATCGAAGAAACATTTTCTACAGGTTACTTACACGAAATTTTAGGAAGCTTTCCATTTTGTACAGTTTGACCTGTACTTTAAAAAACTTGTTCCTGTAAAAGGGATTTTATTATTAATATCAACTCTTTTGAACCTATCTTTCAAAAGTGAAGTGGGTTCCCTAATCCAAATCCTGATCATCCTCCAGGAAAACCTTGCTATTGTTTAATCGAATACCGTCGTCAGCAGTACAACTTCTACCTTTGACGTTAGACTAGTCGCTTTTGGTCTCATAGCTCTCTAATCAGCCTACAGTTAGTTCATATTATGAAATTAGAAAAGAAGCTCGTCGCCAAAAAGAGAAATAAAATAAAGCCCACATACCTGCATTTCGATTATGAACTGAATCTGGAAGCCACATATCCAACAAGAGCATGTAAGGATATTTAGGAGTTAACAACTACAAACTAGTTTTTTCAAACACGAAACTAACGGGTACTCCACCTTCAGAAATCGAAAAATTAGCGGTAGGAAAGCTGCAAATGTTGGAATACTCCATTTGAACATTGCAATTAGTACTAAGAGTTTTAATAAATTCAAAACAAGATACGTCAACCTACTCAAACACTAAATTCAATGTTCTTTCCAGTTCAACAGTAGGAATGCAAATATGATATAACAGAATGAATACTATGACTCCGTAGGCAACAGTTACAGCCTCAATTATTAAAAACAATAAAATGTAACGAATAGCCTTCCATGGTGTTGATGACAAGTGGATCGCCTCGTAGTTGATTTTATCCAACATACTGCTAAAATATATGTTTAACAAAGTATACAAAACACAGAGGTGACATTATATATATATATATATATATATATATATATATATATATATATATATATATATATATATATATATATATATATAACAGGTCAGTTTCCACAGGACAATTTATGAAATTCCATGTTAATTATCAGTTTTGTAAACTGATGAATTCTGTCAACTAAAGACTACTTTATTCCCTACCTTTCTCCTTTATATCATCATAATATGCATCGTACGACGATGTTTACATGCCAAGTTAATTTCAAATATTACTAAGAATCCAAACTAACAGAAGTTCAACCAATCAAATATAGTCACATAACAAAAGGCAATTAATGCTTAGATAATCAAACTGATATGAAGGGTATATCTGAATATTTAAAAATGAAGCTGCGATATAAATGAATAATAATCCGATGAATACATGTACTAACTGACAAACAATTCACTCTAGCTTGTTCTCTGGTTGGGTAAGAAAAATTTGGTTTGGTGAATGTTTCAAAACTTCTCTACTGACTGTAGATATTACCAATCAGCTATATATTTCGAGATGCACTGATGGTATCCTACCTTGGAAATATTCGAAAAATCTTCCTGACCAAGTGACACAGATTGTCAAGGATTGTATGTACTATTGTTTAGCCATTCAACAAAACAATGATCAATTGTAACAATCCAAACCTGATACATTTTACCATAATACTTCTAAGTTTTCCTCTTAGCCGAAGAATGACCCTGTTGCATAATGCCAACAGGATCACAACCGTATCAACAAAAAAGTAAGTTCCCATGTTTTTTACATATCACGCAAAACTACAAAATGCTCCTAAACTCCCTGAGCAAAAAGGTACTATATTATACCTCTTTGCGTTTTATAGGTGGACGTCACTTGTATGTCTTTCTAAACCTGCATTCTAAGAGAAAACCGAATTTATGGTAACCAGAAATCAGAAGCCATATCAATGATATGAGGAGATCCTTTGTGATTCAGATATGTTGAACAGCATGGTTCAATACTTCTAAGCATTAAATTTCAAAGAAACAATAGTAAACATTGGTTGATAACACTTTTATGGCTGAGTCCACACTTGTCCAACTGTTTAGTTCCCTTTATGAAATTTTAACTGATTGATAACCAGTAAAGAAAGACAAAAAATAAGGAAGTTACAACTTGATATGTAAATTCTGCGTTGTTAGAATTCTATGTAGATCTAGAGTGTCGATAATCTAAAATAGTGTATTTCAAACAAAACAACCCATTAAATGCCTTCTGCGAATGTAGTCCCAAAATAAACGACGTAATAGAAAATTTCGTTGTTTTTGAAGTTTTGGTCACAAAAAAATTTTTATAAAAAGAAAAAAATAATAGACTGAACGTGGTGTTACCTGAAATACGGGAGTCTTAAATGGTCCTTTCTTAATGGTCTAAACCACCATACGTTCCAGTCTTCAAGAAAGGAGAAAACTATTTTTGTGATAACTTCAAACTAACTAGATTGACCAAGATGATTCCAGGAGGATTCTAGGTTTCATAAACTTATGACGTCTAACTACAGCCAAAGCTGGCATACTCAAAAAGAAAATGAGCAGGTTTTAAAACCAGCCATAGGCGTAATAACCCGATATTATTGACGAACATACTTACCGGCTCTTATTACTGCCATATCTCTTGATCTAAGGTGGATTAACAGGTCCCATACAGGTGTCTCCAAATGAGAGAGGTGTCCAGCAAGTACAACATGCTGCTGAAGGCGCTATACTTGAGTATTCCTGATTACGTTAGAGACTATGGCAAACTTTCAGATGAATGTTTTTAACATTAACTAATGTTCATATAGGATGTCTACTCACTAATTTTCTTTGATCTTATCATAGACGCACTTATATAGGTTGCCCTATCCTTGTCTGACTGTAGAAGGATTGACCTTGTAGATTTTCTAATTGAATTCAAGTACACAGACGACATAGTGTTGCAGATGAAGGCACTGTAAATAGGCAAATTGTTTGAGCTGCATTTCTCACATCCCAAATGCAGATTTTTGCTTCAGAACTGGTTTATGTTGATACCCTGACAACAGCAAGTATTAAGTGGATGGGCACGGTGACCACTTGATATACTTCAGATTTTAGACCGGATAGGTTAGTGACCGACAAAATTTCGGCGCACATACAGAAGACATACCAACTACTCACCAACTAATGCCACCTATGGTGCCAGATAGACGTTAAATCACCTACTAAAAGTGAAGCGTACTGAACGACTAGAGAGCATCTGTGGAAGACTGTCACTCTTTTTGGAGCAAGTGTTTGGATAGCAACCGCGAGTTGGTTCGAGTGCGTATATATCTGCATCTCAATAGTCGTTGAAAAACCTTAGCAACAAGACCATTACAAGAGGAGCTCGACAATGAGAGCCCTAAGGCTGCTTTTAGCGAGAAACTGGCTAGGCAGTTATCAGAACGGCACAATATTACTCATATAGAAGCATGGTGCCATCTCCAGTCTACTGTAAAAACAGCGTGGAAGAACATAGCCGACCCTCTCGGAGTGGTCAAAAAAACCAGTGGACATCGGCAGCTTGTGGATTAATTGATGCACGCAAACGCACCCATGCAGGCTTTTAAGTACAATGAAGAGTGAACGCAAATCAAATGTAGACTAACAAAAAGTCTACACAATGACCACTAACGAAGGCTAAGGAGATAGAAAAGGCAGTGGCGATAGGTAACAGTAAAAAATCATTCAGACCTACTGAAGAAACTGGAGCAAAAAGGTCAATAGTTGGTGAGACTATAGAGAACAAGGGTAGATCTGAGATTCACTCACAGGAGACAACTGGAACGATGGGCAGAATACTTCGCAGAACGGTTTAACTGGCCACCAGCTACTATTGTGTTGCCCGTTATCCAGTCGGATCCTGAACGGAGCACTGAGATAGGTCCCCCATCACTTGTAGAAGTCGAGAAAGTGGTAGGTACCTTGAAAAGTGGAAGGGCAGCAGAACCAGACGGACTAGTTCCTGAGGTACATTGGTAGTCTTTTTAGCCAGTTAACTTAAGTGTTAACTAGTATAGGGGAATTGAATACGATCCCCTCTGATTGTTCTCAATCACTGATTATCCCAGTCTTCAAGAAAGGCGAGAAGTCCTATTGTGATAACCAAAGAGGAATCAGCCTGACGAACGTAGTGTGTAAGATTCCAGATCCTATAATTATTAGACACCTGAGTGGAACAAGGGAACAGCAAGCTCGAGAAAACCAGGCGGGCTCCAGACCTGGCTGTGGGTGAACTGACCAAAGGTCCACACTCCGCCAGGTTCTGAAATACAGGCGAGCTCACCGACACCCAATAGCTGAAGGCAGCATGCTACTCTGTCGATCGGGAGGTCTTATGGCAATATCTCTCACTGAAAAGGGTACTGAGTAAGTACATCACTTTACAGAAGGCTCTTTACTCTAACACCTGTGGGCTTGTTAGAACCTATGGTGAAATGTCGCCTAAGCTGTGTACATCAAGTAGTGTTCGTCAAGGACGACCCCTCTCTCCAACTCTATCCAAATTAGGTAAAAACGCCATTACGGATGTCTCCATCTTATCTTCTGACTTCATAGGGATTGATATAATCACTGGAGGATCATTGGTAAGCCTAGAATACACAGATGGCATAGTTCTGTTTGGTGAAGACGCTGACAAGATCCAGGGTCTTTTGGACACCTTGAGTGGCAGCTGGAGAATGTTTAAGGTGCATTTCTCGCCACTCAAATGTAAATTGTTGCTCCACGACCGGTTTTCAATTGTGCTCTGCCTAACAATTGAGAGTGAAGTGGTTGAGTGCGTTGACCACTTCGCTTACCTGGGAAGTCCTATCAGCCCTGGTGGCTCGGTGACCGACGAAATCTCTGTGCAGAAACAGAAGGTCCAGTTGGCTTTTGCTAATAAATGCCATCTGCGGCACTGCCGTGATATCCGATTGCCCATTGTGAACTAAGTGTACTGTGCTGCAGTTCGCTCTGTTCTACTGTGTGACTGTAAAACATGGACACTAAAGGTAAAGAACATGGGGAGGCTTCAATTGTTTGCCCACTGTTGGCTTCGTTGCATCGGCCGTGTTTCGTTGTGTCACCATGTGAGTAAAGCAGAAGTCGGGCGTGGAGGAGAAGAATGTCAGTCAATGAGGTTGTGAACCTTCATCGACTGAGATGGTCGGGACGTGTGTCACGTGTGAATAGTCACAGTCTACCTCTTCTCACAATGTTAGATGAAGTATATCTAGGTTGGCAAAGGGTTAGGGGTGACCAGACTGAAAAATGCCATCAGTGCTTGATGTCTTTGACTATTGATCCGGGCTATGTAGGGGAACGTAGACTTCCCAGTTGGGGTCCGCGTGACGACAGAGACCAGCGACTGTAGGTTCTAGGTGGTACGGCTCAGAATCAGCGTCAGTGGCGCAGATGTGTACACATTATCTTCATCTTAACTGTTATTTTGAATTCAGCATTTTCTCATTCCTCCTTCCTTTCCGTTCCTACTTTCTACCTCGTTCGAACGATGTTTCCTTCTTTTTATCTCCCATTTTATTAGCTTGTTACTTTATGTTCTGATTTCAGGCGTGGCAACCTATGCGCATTAGTGCCTGGTCCAGTGTAGATTTTCATGATGAAGACCCTGCCATCGATTTCACGTAGGAGCTTCCAACGTCCGAAATCCATGCCAAATTCAACAGCAACCATCGCCCGCCTGAACTCTGGAATCTGGAGCCATGGATGTATGCTGCATCTCGGAGACACGTTTACACGATCCGAGTGTGATTATTAAACTGACCTCACCTACTCAGAGTAGTGAGTCTTCAGAATTCACCTTACGAATATCCGGAGACCCAGTGGCTAGCTATGGTGGACTCACTGGTGTAGGAATAGCATTGAGCTGTATGGCAGAAAATGCACTCCTTGACTAGATACCAGCTAACGACCATTGATGTGCTG